ATGATATAGATGGTACGATAGAGATAACTGACAGGTGAAAAATAGCTAGATAGCTGGATAGATATATATGATAGATATAGATAGATAGATAGATAGATATAGAGATACATGACAAATATAGATAATAGATGATATAGCTCAGTGGTTCTCAACCTTTTTAATGCCGCGACCCCAACAGATCGTAAGTCGAGGACTAAACTGGTCGTAAGTCGAGGACTAAACTGGTCGTAAGTCGAGGACTACCCAACTGGTCGTAAGTCGAGGACTTTCCCTGCCCGCGAGCGCCGCGCATGCGTGGTTCCGCCCCCTGCGCCGGCCGAGGCGTAGCTGGCAAGCGGCAGAGACGGAGCAGGCCGACCACCAGCTGGCCCAGCCCAAGGGAGGTAAGGCACCCGCCGGAAAAGGGGAAAAAATGGTGGACAAAAAAAATGACGGACAGCCTTGCTTGGCGACCCCCATGAAATGGTCGATCGACCCCAAATGGGGTCCTGACCCACAGGTTGAGAACCACTGATATAGCTGATGGATAAATAACAGATGAGAGATAGATAGATAGATAGATAGATAGATAGATAGAGAGAGAGAGAGAGAGAGAGAGAGAGAGAGAGAGAGAGAGAGAGAGAGAGAGAGAGAGAGAGATGTGGCTAATAAATAGATGATAGATTAGACAGATAGCCTGATGGAATTAGATGGGAAGAAGTGGAGGAGATAGTGGAAAAACTGATCAAAATAAGATAGGGCATCCTTATACAGAACCCAGCCTGCCAAATATTTGTTTTTAATTGAAAGCATTTCCCACAATGTTTAAGAGTAAAGCGCTGCAAAGTGATACGCAGAACAAGTGAAAAAGAGGATGAAAATACAGGTGATGGCATTAGAAGCAGACATCTGGAAATGACAGGATGCCTCTGCTTCTGTTCCGCCAGCACATGGAATCATCAAAGCTAAGGCCGAAGAAAAACTCTTGGAATCTAATTTAAGAGGAATAAAGTTGATTTGAGTCTACATTCCAGCTTGCCTAGTTTCTGTAGCCCGGCAACTGTTCATTTTAATGTCCATAGTTCTAAAAAGAATCCAGAGATAATTCTTAGGACTGGGGGAATTACATCAAGCAATAAGTAGAACTGTTGAATTATATCAAGCAATAAGCAACATGACACGGCTGTATATTCTTTATGCTTAGACCTTTGGGGGGAAACCAACAAGATTTCATTTTTTAAAAAAAAAAATGCAGACTTTTTATTCCACCAACTTCCGAAGTTTCATAGATCTTTACAGTAAAAGCATCAACCAAAGTAAAATGCATAGGTGCATACGCCTATACAAAATTACCAGCAATTACAATCTTATTCAAACATTTGCTCGTTTAAAGCTTTCATGAATGCTAAGAAGCAGGTAGTCTTCTCCACAAAGCAGTAGGTCCATTCTGAAGACTTGGGGGGTGAAGACAGGTATGACCACCAAGGGGTGAAAAAGTCAAGGTGGTGGCTGCAACTGTCTGGTCTTGCTCCTTTTTAGGTGTGTTACACAAACGACACATATTAAAAAAACTTACGTGGTTCCATTTACCATCCTGATTTTTTTTAAAACCAGGGGGATCCAATCCTAGCAACTTTAAGACTTGTGGACTTCAACTCCCAGAATTCCCCAGCCAGTATGGAATTCTGGGAGTTGAAGTCCACAAATCTTACAGTGGCCAAGGTTGGACATCCCCGTGGATGCCCTTAGGAAGCTATAGAGACTGATTCCCAGCTTGCTGCACAATGAACGTGGGTTGACTTTGGGAGTCGCCTCAGTGGAACGGCAGCGAAAGTCCAGGAAGAATCATAGAATTCCTACCTTTAATTATGTCCTCCAATGTCATTCTCCGCTTACCTCTGTGAGAACCTCAATCCTTGCAGGAAAAGCCAGTGAGAAAATTCTCGCCCTGCACTGCAAGGGCACCATTTTGAAACCAAGACTAGATGACTGTTCTAACCCGGGGGGAAGTAGTCACCAATGGGTGTAGCAACGGTTGGGTGCCCCTTCCTAGTTTAGCCGTATGCTGTTGTTGAAAAAGGAATTTGAAAATTGTCTCCAGCACTTAAATATTACTGAGACATTGTCCACATTGGCACGACTCAGCATGACGTAAAGACTTGTTTCTTCTCAAGATGTCTGGAAGGAAGTCACATGAGAAGATCTTGCATGATGGGTCTACCAAGCTCACACCATCCCATCTCCGTGTCTTCTTCTGTTTGGCCTTGAACAATGCAGAAGGAAGATGTTTCTAGCCATTGTTCAATCTTGAAACTCATGAACATCAGAAAGGGTCTTGTTGTTCTGTCCCCGTTCTGACCCACACACCCAAACAGCCAGCCGAGGGTTAAAGACTTCTCCAGACACCACTTCACAGATAAGAAACTTGGCAGCAGCTCCGTAGCTGCCTGCCAAGACCTTTTACTCCAAACACACAGAAACAAAAACAATACACACAGTTTAAAGCCACAGCAAACTACTTTGCCAGAGATTCAGC